AAGGCCAACGGTATCCTGGGCTGCATCACGTGAGGTGAGTCAACTCTCCTTGAGGTCAACGGGAGCCATTCGACTGACTTCAGAGCAGGGCTTTCCGTACTGCATGTGCAGAGCCGGGCTTATCTCCTAAGAGCACCTAGAGCAATATAACTCAGCAGACAGTACTGACTATACAATCACCACTTCAAAACTCTAATGGTAGGATGTCCCACGTACAGCGACCTTTGGATTATTTACAAGCTATCTAAGAGACACTAGCTATGGAGAAAGAGGCTGCTGGCTGCTTGGCACAGTTCAAATTTTAAGAGCTTGGTTTAGGGGCCTATGTATCAGACTGTTACATATTTGTTCTTTATATTCTTAGTCACTGTATTTACTTGAATACAGAAAGTACAACATGGCTTGGCTTTTCCTTCTCAACCCTCTTATCACAGCAGCCACAAAAGTTCCCAGAGCAGAGTTGGTTGCTGCTATTTTGGAAATGACACAGAGACCCAGCTATAAAATTTTCATGCCCAATTATTATTTTGGCAGGCTGGCAGCGTTCGCCTGCAGATTGCATGGCAATTTTCTATTGTTCGTTACTCAATAAAATCTGAGTGGAATCTCTTGATAGATATGCCTCTAACCCAAAGGCCTCAAATTTGGTCTTTGCTCTGCCAAATTTTGAAATGATATTGTAAACAGCAGGAGTGTTAGAATATCTCAGAAAGGTCACTGAAACCTTTTACAACAGGGAGTCTTAGGCTTTCTGACTAAAATCCTATCAGCTGCCTTAAAAAAAGAAAAGGTTCCTCTGCATTTGTACCTCATGTTGTCTTGTATACTGCAATGCCATAAGAAAACTTATAAGATGAGGTTGAGAGTCTGATTTCAATCCACAAGAGCAGAGAAATTCAGTGTTTATACTAGAACCATTACCATTCAGAGCTAAAACTCTGCTCAAACTGATTATCTACTCTGGCATTCCAGCTTTAAAATTATCCTCCAAATAAAAATGAGAACCCCATTTTGTTCAGTACTATGGGCTGAATGCACTATTGGTCAGTATGAAAGCTTGCTCATGCATAGCTTCAAGGGCAGTTTTGGGCATTTGAAGAATGGAAGTTTGGGAATCGGTGCATAGAGAAATAATAACCTACCTTTTTTAAACTTTCTGTTTCATAAAAGTGCATCACAGCCTGCGGCTCTCGTATGATATACTGGCATGCACTCTGTAGTAATGCCACCACAGAGCAAAGCAAGGGTAGAAGACCAGCCACAGCAGTCAGCCGAGCTGTGAGGATTTCCAGAGCACTGGAAAACTTGGAAAATGTTGGTTTGAAAGCTAACACAGTAACAAAGCTGGTACTGGGGGCAGCGGCTGGCACTGTTCACTGTTTCTGATGAACCCGAATCTTGACATTTGGCACAATCACTTTCAGCTAAAGGTTTGTTGCTGCTGAGTTACAGCAAATTAAAAGTCTGCAATCTGAAAACATAACCTGTACATAATACTTGTATTTCTGCCTGGCTAGCATATGAGGTGTTATTCCTTTTTTGGATCTAAACTGTTTAAAAACTCCCAACAAAAATTAAAGTCAACAGATGTTGTCTTCTGAATAAAATCATTACAGAAAAAGTTACTGGACAGTCATAAAACCCTTTGTCTTTGAATAAAATAGTTTGGAAAGATCTGTGTCTATGCTTATGTACTACAGGTCTCAGCAGTATCACTTGATTTAAGCTAATATAAAGCATTCTGTCACCTAAGTGCATCTTTCCAGCTGCTAGTTTATTTTCCCAAACCTCATCTTTTAGTAAAAGAGAAAAAACCCCCAGTCTTTAGCTGTTCAGCTCACAAAGAAATCCTCATAAATATATCAACCTAGTGTAACTGTGGTAGGTATATCTGCGAGTCTACAGAGAGGCCGGAGGAGCAAGAGGTGAGCTGTTCCCATTTAGCTGTGTAGGCGTTGGATGCCTGATGACCATAATTGAAGTACCACCATTGCTAATCACTTCAGAGAAGAAGGACTGGGGAGAGTCACAGAGCTATGCAATGACTGCACCTCACTTTGCTCTCAGGAGAAAGGGACAGGGACAGGCATCATACTTGCACTTTTGGATGGTCTTTCAACTTTGTGGGAAAAGGCAGAGGGGAAGAGATCTCAACCTCCTACCACTTCCCAGTTCCCAAACTACAGCAAAGTATGTCTTCCACCATGCCAGACTGAAGCAGGGGGATGTGTGTATGTGTGGGAAGAAGGTTTCTTAGGCAGAGGCATAGCAATCCCTCCCACCACGCTGTACAGAACAGCAGTGGATCAAGTCTGCAGTTATTCTGCTCCCCAGCAGCCTAGAGAGCAATCATTGAAGGATCCAAGTCTTTCCTACCGATTTGTCTTCAGACACAAAGGCTACTACACAGAGAAAGAGAATATTCTGTTCCCCATAACCATAATAGACAAAATGAGAAGCAATAGGTCTCACTTGCAGCAAGGGAGTTTTGGGAAAGCATTCTGACAGCTACACCCAGGAATTACCTGGATCCTCCAGGAAGAAGGGCATAGCCTGGGACGGAGAGATGGACTAGATGAACTCTCTTCCAGCCCTATTTTCTAGGATTCTCAGAAACCCTCTCTGCAGTCCTCCATCATAGACTCATTAATCCCTGCAATGCACAATACGATGTGCAGTGGAACACCGTACACTTTCTGATGACTTTAGCCACAGTTGCAGAAGGGGAAATAGAGCTTTGTCCAATTATCTTGATGTTGGTGTTGTGAAAGTTTCCATAACATGTAATAAAGCCTGCTTGGTTAGGGGCCAGATGCTCCTTTGTCCTTGCTGAAGAGGAGAGGAGCAGAACCCAGCTTGAGCTGAGCACAGGAGAAAGAAGAGGGGAACAATGCCTCTGCAATGTGGTTTTGCAAAACTACCACAGAATTGCTGCTTTTTGAGTCCTGGGGGACAGTAGTTGAGCAATACAATACGGTATATTCATCACAGGCAGAGTATAAAAAGCTAGATAAACAGCAAACACAAGCCCTCTGGGAGGGGCAAACCAGTGATTAGTTGTAGCGGCTGTAGAACTGTGGGGTTCTGGTCCCACTTCTGTTACTGGTGCCAAAAGGAGAGTACCAAGGGAATCACAGCAGCATGAAAACCACGTCTGCTGCCAGAGAAAGCACTTGCTGAATTCTGTGCAATGAAGTTTCATCTTTTCTGCTGTCCTTGGACATAAGAGTTAATTCATGTGCAACTCAAAGTGACTCTCATTTATTCAGGGTTTGCTTGTACTACTGCTAGTACAGCAGTTCTTTCTTAAAGTTCTTTCTTAAAAGGCAGGTGTTTCAAATCCATTGGATTTGGGTCTTCTCAAATCATGTGATGTTTTCTATGAGTGTAGTGGGGGTCCTATTCCAGGATTCTCCATAAGAGAAACGAATTCAGAGTGGTAGCATTATAGATATCATTGCTTAATTCACATGGACAAGCAAACATCTCTGCTGCTGCTTCTGCTGCTATGCTAACAATAACAAATCAGCTCATGTTTTTAAATTATCAGAAAAGAAACTTTAGGTGTTTTTTACCTGCAAAGAGGTTCTACAAGGTCCTTGTCAAGAAAATCATGATCTTTCTTTACTGCAGCAATGTCAATGGGAAACTGGGAGTCTATAAAAGGAGACAGAATATTAAGATGACTGCTTGCTATTCAAATGAAAATACATTGCCTACACCTAAAATGCTTTGCATGTGCTTGCTCACTGAAATCTAGTATGACCGATTTCACTCAGCTCTGGTCCCCTTACAGCTGTATCTGTGACCCTTTCAGTCGCTTTATTTTTTTTTCTGTTAAAGGTATAGTTGAATGTCCTGTGCGCCAAAGAGAGAGCAAGATTATTTCATTTTGGCTTTAATAAGATATTCAATTGTTAGCTGTTCTTTCTAGCGCCTAGCACAAACGAATGAGATCAGGGAATTACCAACACACTTGCTTTATCCACATGAGCAACAAGGTTCTCCATTCCTATCACAGTGACTTAATGAGTTGCTTGCTAGACAGACTTTCCCCATGAAACACAAATGTTCTGCGCTTTTTACTTTTAATACAGGTCCAATAACACCGATTTCAGACAAAGGGTTACTCGAGTAACAGAGACAAAAAAATGAGCTGAATTATAACCCCCAATATTAGCTAAAAGCCAGACTAGTGTTCTGGAAGCTGACATTTGTAATGAAAAGTGACATGGCTGCAACACATTAGCGGGCTCCGTAACGGTGGGACGGGTTCCAGCGCTGTGGCTGCTCTCCAGACTGCTCTGCCATGCTTAGGTACCGCAGCAGGGCGCTGGGATACAGCAACTGCCGCCAGCATTTTCAGACACTAGTGCTTAACACTGACATAATAGATGCCTGTAAAAAGGACCTTGTTTTCAGAGACGCAGACTGTCTAGAGTGCATATTGACTGTATGGGAACTGTGGGAGCCCAGCACAGGTTGCTTTTTGGAGGGAACATCCCTTTGAGTTTGGCAGGCAGCAGGCTCTCCTTTCCCTGGCAGGGTGGGGATCTGAGATACTCTGATTACAAGGTAGACACAAAAATACTACTGGGCACCCAGGGACTGTGGTAGACACACATCTACGTCAGCTTTGGTCTGGCAGGCTTATTAGTCTGAGTTCCTTGCTGGGTTTAACAGAGCCCGCCCGGCTCCTGAGGAGCCACCTGAGCATCTCTGCATGGTGCTCCCAGTACCCGGGCACCCGAGCGGCTTATCAGGAGCCAGCGCCTGAGCCCTGAGGGACGTCAGCTGTCCATCAGAAGCTGCAGAGGTGTCCTCGTCCATCCCACGCACGGGGATGGATGGTGTCCGAGCCGGCTCTCAGCTCTCTCTGACCTGTGCGGTTTCTTGGCCATCGCTCCGTACGTGGGGCTGTGCTGCCTCCAGACCCAAGCTGACCCTGGAAGGTGTCCATTTGGCAGAGCTGTGCTTCAGCTAATAAGCCTGAGCGGGCCTGAGCTGGCTCTGTGTCTCTGGCAGAGAGAATATGTAGTTTGGGAAAAACGAGGATCAGCTGCAGTTTCCCTCTCAGCATTGAGCTAGGGAGAGCAGGAAAAACCCAGCCCCTGTCCCCGAACTGCTCCTGAAGGCAGCAGCAGTGCAACCACCTGCCCTGCCCTCGGGGACGCTGCTTCCCTGGGCACGAACTTTACAGCTAGGAAGGGGACACGGCCATTTGCGTTGAGTTAGCACCAAAATACTGGCTTTTCTTGCTTTGCCAATGTAAAACGCAGCTCAGATTATTCACTTTTGGTAACTTTGCAGAGTTTTTCAATCTTATTTTCAGTAAGATTGAAATTTTCAGTAACTTCCAGTGTTTTCAATCTTATTTTAGACACAGTTCAGGAAGTTTAAAAAAAAAAAAGAGACCTATGTATTTGGATTTTTTTGTACTTGTTTTTGTTAACCTTTGAGGTTTACAAAAACTATGTCCCTCTTTTCTTTTTCTTCCCATGGCTATGAGGGCAACAATCTTACTTTTCCTTGGCCACTCGTTTGACTCCAGCAGCTGAGGCTTTGTGAAGCAGCCAGCCATGGGCATAACTCAGTTGAATGTGGAGTTGGCCAGCTGCAAGCTCTCCTGGCAAGGGCCCAGTGCACTTTCAGTACCGCACAAAGAGGAGAAAAACCTACTTACCCTCATAGAACTGAGCATATTGGGGAAATCCAGCTGCACGTAACCAGTCACACGCTTCCTTTGCTTCAATTTCTGAGCAGAAAGAGAAAAGTTCACACTTTGTTATTTTGCTTTAGAAGTTTTTTTAATTACAAGAAATAGCAAAGATACTTGGTAGGAGCTGTCTGTTGCTTAAAAGCACTGTCATCGCTCTGAACTATTTTTTAATAGCATCAGAAAATAAGAGTCCCTCAAAGAAATCCCCCTGCCTCCAGAGGACTCTGGGGTTTGCATAGCCGCTTGGTGACCAGGATGAAGTGTTAATCATCTCCGTGCAGCAAGGGAAGTTGCCCAGCCAGGTTTGTGGTCCTGTGTCCTATCCTCCCCCAGGGGGTAGCTGTTGGGGAGAGGTGAAGATGAAGCAGGGTGGAAATGGGGTGGCAGGGAGCACGCACTGTGTTTTCTCCTGCTCTGACACTTCTTGCGGAGAAAAACCCCACGTGAAAGCCACTCTGCCAGGAAAACCCCAGTGCAGGTCTCACGTTACTGAAGGGACAATTGCACAGGCAGGATGCGCCTTCCTACCTTTAGCCATCTGAACTCCATTACGCAGACTCCCTCCATAGTCAACAGAGAGACAGTTACTTCCAAAGGGTGATTCATTTCACCTTAAAGTAGCGTCTAAAATAGGTAGGATAAATCAACTACTGACAATGCTTTTCTCTTGTGGCTGCTAACAGAGGGAGGATAAACAGCTACAGGTATGTCTGTGCAGCTAAATAAAATAGATACAGGCAGTAGCTTCAAGCACTGGACCCCAGACCGCTCGCTCTAATTTTAATCCACTTCCAGGCCTGTTTTGGACTGTTTCAGTTATCTATCAAGACAAATCTTTTCTTGAGAAGGCTAGTACTAAGCAGTGAGGAGAGGAATCAGTCTGTGTCATCTTGTCCCTGCCTCTCCACTATTTAGAAGTATCGACACAGCTGATGCTGGACTAAGTTTCCCTTTCAGCCAGCTTTCACTGGGTAAGATGTATCCCACGCCTATGGAAAAGGTGGAGGAATCATCAGCTGGACCAGAGAATCGTCCCTCCTTATTTTGGGGGTGACGGTAGGAATAGGTGAGCACGAGGGAATGGAAGAAAATCACATTCAAGAGGGAGACTACAGAAAACCTAAAGCATTTTGCACAGGAGAGGCAGATCCACCCCTTGCAATTACTAAAGCAGCAGTAAATAAATGTCAGCTACACAAAAACAGAGGATAAATTCTGAAGTGTCTCCAGCGAAACAGAGTTTGTGCACTCCAGCAGTCACACACAACGGCTATGCACCCAACCTCTGAGACGACCGACGCATGTTGACAGTAGGGTACCTCAATTTTTACCAAGCTCCACGGGCTCATTTTATGGAAGGGAGGGTGCCAGGCCCGGCTCTGCCTGGCACCCGCGCTGCCTGCATGTGCAGCTGCTCCCAGAGCGACCAGCGGAACAACTGAAAATAGAGGCTCAGCCAGGTAAGTGCGGGTTGCTGAGGAAACCTGGGCAACATCTCCTTGCTGCCCAGATCAAGATCAGGATCTACCACTTGAACAGTTTCGGTTTACAAGATCAAAGTCGAAACACGTATCTGCACCTCTTACATTTGCAAAACGCTAAGGAATGGAGTGTGCAGGTGTTGAAGAAAGTAGACATTTTATGTCGCTTATTATCCAACCTGAATGAACCAGCCAAGGGTTTTGGCACATTTGTGGTTGTAAAATCTAGGCAGCCGTAATACAAACCCCTAAATATAAAACAAGCAATGGAGCTGGAAAAAGAAAATCAGGCTCAGTTGCTCTTCTGCATGCTCTGCTTTGCATGCAAAAAAAATTCCAGTTGTAAATCTGTTTTCTACTAAAGTGCATTTTTATAGATAGGAGATGCTGGCATGAATTTTTCCCCATGTAATTCTGTTCAAATCACTCATTATACCCTTAATGACTTTACCCAATGAAGCTCACCATAAAACTCTGCAGTATGTGATCCACACGCTTTTCTGATCCTCTAAATACCGAGTCATGCCAGCAAATTTTGTTGCAGAAATCAAAATTCAGAATACAAGGTCTACTTATCAAAAGCCCGATTTCCCAAAGATGATTAGACAGCCAGTAACAGCTCCGCAATGGCCGCAATCATTAGCAGTGCTGAAAAGGATTTACCACCAGGTCTTCATTTGCTTTGACATTAGTTCATGTCAAGGCCAAAAAAAGGAGTATGAAAGTACATTCAGTTCTTAACACTGCACAAAAGAATGAGCAGCTTACATAAAACGTGGCTCTCACTACTGCACATCTGTGTGCTGAAAGCACATCTCTATTATGTTCCAGTGAGACTGAATATTTGTATTAAATGCTTGGAAAAAAGACAAGTCTTTATACTTTTTTCTTTTGCTTAATTCAATCTCATGAAACACAGATGAATCAATCCCATTTCAAAATGTATTTTACAACTCAGAACAGCTGTATGTACATTCTAGCTTCATCTGGCCTGGAAGCACAACTAACAGAGGCTGTGGGTGATGGAGAATGCTACCATTTAATGCTCTTATACGCTTATCATATTTCAATGTTTTTTGCAGTTGGCTGCTCAGAGGAGCTTGCTGAGGAGTCTTCCCGCAGCCCAAGTGAGATCTGAAAAATCTCAGGTTGCAGTGGATGAATAATTGCAGGGAATAACCAAGGAAATAAATCTCACCCATTGGTGGTTTTTTTTTTCTTTTGTATGAGACTGTTTGCAACACACTGCAACCAGTCAAAAATGATTGATGGATGAACTTCTGCTTTCAAATCCTTGACTCTATCTCCTCCACGAAGGAATCGATCGGGAGTATTCTCATTTTCTAAATGATCATCTGAAACAAACAGATTCCCCCTCGAATAAGATTTGCTAAGTCAGCTTCCAGGATACTGGGTCTCGGACACGTACCAGTGCCCAGTTCCCTCCCTTACCTCTCTTTCCTTTTTGGTCTTATTCAGAGGGCAGCAGAAGGGGAGAAGTGCAATGTGCTGCTGGCCCAGCCAATAATATGACTTTGCTCATATCAGTCTGTTTCTACGAGATAAAGGCACCTGTTCCAGCCATCCCCCTCTTGGCCGCTCCTGCAGTTTGGGTGAAAAGGCAGAGCCAAGGATTTACTCCTCAGCAGACACCAAAGGTGATTTCTATTATCTCGCTCTGGGCGTGTGATCCAAGTTATAGTTCAGAATGCAGTAGAGATTCTTTCATTACTGGATATTGTAATCTTAAAACATAATTTGAAATGCTCAGTTTAACCTTCTCTTTCTGTGCATAGACTCTAATATTTCCCTTTTTTACTTGCTAGTTAAACATCAGGGAAGATGATGAACTTCTTTCAGTGAAGACTTCTTTGAGAAGAGATGAGTACAGCATCAAAAAGACCTCACTGAAGCTGTCAATGAAGGGTTGCAGAAATACTTTTGGCAGTGTTGGTCCAGTTCTGTTCCCACGTCCAGGCTAACGCAGGGGTCTGAACCAGCCTGCAGCAGCTGCACTGTCTTGGTGCAACCCTTGAAGGACCTGGAAAACTACATGTGTTCACAGGTGGCTCCAGCAGCTTGTCAACAGCACAGAGAAGGGCTGTCATACCAAGAAGAGTGATTTTAGACAGGACATGGCTTGTAGGTTTGTGCTCAAGGCTGGCAGGAGCCACAGGTCCTCCCAGAGGACCACCAACCCACAAGCAGCATCTCCCTTGGCATGACCAAAAGGCTGCTCACCCCAGCACACCTGATGGTGGATTTGTGCTTATGCACCACTGCCCTGCTCTGCTGACTGAAAAAAAAAGTCAGGGATAATTTACCTACTGCTTTCCACTTGCTTGTGCAGCAGTTAATGACAAACATTAATTATTAAGGCTAGATAATAATTCAGTCACAAATATCAACAAGCATCAATATGTCTCACAGTACTTGAATTCTCAGGGTTTTTTTTTCCGTTTTTAGTTAAAGCTTGACAGGAAACAAGTTTCTCTTTTCCATTTCACTTTTCTACCAGTAGCGAGTTATAACTGAGATCCACACATGCAAAAGCCCTCCAGCAACACTGCTGGGGAGATCAGGGTGATGATCTCCTCATGGCCTCCATATCCCCCTCATCTATCAGCTCTTTCCAGGAGGTATGTCCAAAGTCCCCCGTGCACAGACATTGCTGCTGACCTTCCTCGCATTTCGCCCCAGAGGGTCCCCGGAAGTTGCCCCCTGCTTCACCGAAACCTTTCAGTGACCATATGCAAGCAGGACTTAAAACCTTGTCACACGCCTCTTTGATGAGCCAAGCTATCTTCCCCCCCCACTCCCATGGGACTGTGTTTTAATCTTTCCTCCTAGAGTTGTCCCACTGTGTATTAAATTAAATGGTTATCAGAGACACCGATACGGTAGCCCAAAGCACATATTGCACAGTAGAGATTGAAGTGCAAATCTCTGATCCGTTTTTTTAAGTAGAGCAAAATAAGGGGAGAGAGGTTCACCCAGGAAACGTGACAGATGTTCAGAGCACAGCTGGGACTTGGCTTTGAGTCCACCTCTAGTGTTAAGCAGGTTTGAACTTGTCTCCCACAGACCATGTGGGTGCTCTGGCTATTCTGGGGCTGAAATGGAGATGGTTGCTTGCAGTCTTTCTCTCTCTCCCAACACTTTCTCTGATTCTTCACAAGCTGCTTTGACAGTGCCCAACACCAGAGGAAGGCTCCAGCAGCCAGCTGCCACCAAAGGGGACATCCTGCCCTGCCTGCACCATGCTGGCTGGCTCCTTCTCCTGCTTCCCTTCATGCCACACCGGCTCCTGGCTAGCCCTTCAGAGATCTAGCTCAACCCTCTAAGCTGGCAGAAAACTAACCCCCCCCCAACCGGTAATGGTCGGCTCTTGGATCAGCAAGTTCACTCAGATCCTCTAAGGGTCCACACCAGCTGCATTTTAATGAGCCCAAGAAAACCAAACCACTGGGACAGTGCTTCCTCACATGAAAGAGAACTGTCTAAAAATTTGTTTGGAGAAAATTGCTCTGTCAAGAGAAAATCATGTAAGTAAAT